CCAGCAGCTCTGCGTGGAGGAGGGACCGTGACGTTCCCCCACGGCGTTGTCCTTGGCTGCCAGAGCAGACCCACGAGGCATGACCCGTGCGGACACCGGCATTTATGGGGCAGGCAGGCAAAGCGGACACGGTCGTTTAGGGGGCAGGCAGGCTGGGAACAAGCCCGGCCGGCTTGCACGGCTCACGCACAGAGGCTGGAGGCACCGACAGACACAAGCAGCGGGTCCGCAGGGGCGTCGCAAGCCTCCCTGCGCCCCGAACCCTGCGCCTGAGCCGCGGCTCCGTCTCCAGTTCCCAGCCTGCTCCGTGCAGCCGACGGCAAGGCGGTGCCCATCGGCAGTGCAAAGTGCACGAGGAGGCACAAACACCCGGCCCGTGCTTGTCTAAGTAACCTTTGCTACCCGAATCGATGCCTTCCCGTAAATTATCAGCCCGCGCGGAAGCGGGGCAGCTGCGATCCACAGCAGAGGAAGGCAGGTTTGTTGGGAGAAGAGGCTGCTGCTAACAAGGGAAGCTGCAGACTGCTCCCGCACCCGGTGACGAGCGCACGGCTCCGGCCCCGCACCCGCTGGGTGCCCTACAAAGGTGGCCCAATGAAGAGGCCGCTACGTGTCTCCATTTATAAAGTACAAGGGAGAGAGCGACGGCAAAGGGGACGGCTGCCTCGCTCCTTGCTTCGGCCCCTCCTGCCAAATCCAGGGCAGGCCCTGGGGGTCTCACACAACCAGGTGGCAGAAGCCCGCATCCTGCTGCTGGGGAAATGCAAATCAACATGGGGGGCTGAGGATACGAGGGACGGAAAATCAGAGGCAAGGGCTGACACAGCCGTGGGGCGGCACGTCTCCCCTCTGCCTCGGGAGCCCTGGGGCCAGGCTGCGGCCGGCCGATAACCAGCAGCGGAAAGATGCCACAGCCCCATTGCTCAGCCAGCCACCAGCGCGCTGGCTAAGGACACGTTGCTGCCAGAGAAGGGCTGGGGAGGTCCGAGGCGTGAGGAATTCTGGGTGTGAACAGCAAGGTTACTACGAAAAAAGGAGAAATTCAGCCTGCCTTCCCTTCTGAGCAAAAAGAGATGCCTCCTGCCTTGCTGGAGACACGCAGGGAAGGCTCTGCACAGGCAGGCGTGGCGCTGGGCAGGGCAGGAGCGAGCCGTGGCTCTCCCCGTCGGGCGTTCACGTTACAAAGCCGGACACGCCGGGACCAGAGGTTTCTAACGCACGTCAGCACCCAGGATAAAGGCTGCGTCCCGCTCCCTCCTGCCTGGGTTGAAGGGTTAAGAGCTGCTCATGATGAGTTTTACAGGGTTGGGTAAATGATTGCCCGCTGAAGGGTGAGCGGAGTGCACACTACTAAGGAAGAGGCGGCTGCGGAAGGGACAACAGGCTCCTGCAAAGTGACCTGAAACCGTTGGCAGCTGAGTCTGTGCGATCTGCACGCCGAGCGGGCTGGCTGCTCTGTGACACTGCGGCTGGCTGCGGCCCCCCGTCTCCCTTCCTTCACCTTGAGGGTGGATGTAACTCATGGTGAGCAGATACTCGGCTGATCCCCTCAGTAGCGCCAACAGATCTGTAAGGAGTGTCCAAAGCTACCACGGCACCCTGTTCCTTGCTTGATCAATGACAAAATCACTAGCCCAGTGAATTTTCTAGCCTGGGATGTGACGGGTGGCAAAACCCAAAGCTCTCCAAGCTTACAGATGCTCTTAAAATTGTTTCTCTGCTTGGCTCATCTTTTCAAAGTGCTGATCCTTTCTTCAGCCTTCAAGGAGCATGGCGTGAGCGTCTCTGGAAAGGTTTGCCAGGCGTGAAGAGCAAGCTGCCCTGCTTGTATGGGGTGGGTAAAGAAACAGCACTGGCCAAGGAAGGTCGACATGCAGGTTTGGACAAGCACGAGATGCCGCAAACCGCAGACGCAGGCCAGCCTGGCCTGTCTGGGTGTGTACAGTCCAGCTGAGTGCGATGGACCCCGACTCAGGCCAATTTCACCGACTGCAAAGAAACAGTGTGTCCCTGCAATCGGCAGGAGATGGTCTGGCTTTTAAGGGTGACACCACCATCATTGTCTTAGCCCAGAGCAGGGAAAGCCCAAAGCCGTTACCACACTTGGCAGCCACTCGGAGGGCTCCACAGGGCGGATTCTCGCTCCACATCCCATCAGGACAAACTAGCCAGGTGCCACAGACAGGACCCTTCCCTGGAGCTGGGCTCTCCCAAAGCAGCCAGAAGCTCCTGATGGGGCCTCATGGGAGCAGCTCCCCTTCCTCTTCTTCCTCTGCTTCAGACAGAGCCTGGCACACGGCCTGGCTCTGCCCCCAGACCCCTGGCAGGGGCTGTTTCAATGGAGAACCTTGCGTACGGGGCTCTGACCGCTCCTTAC